GGAACCGCATGCGGGCGCAGCCACTGGGGCCTTCGGTGGAGCTCCCTATGGGGCCACGAAACGTGTGAGGGGTGTGCCAGAATGGGGGGTGGAACCGCATGCGGGCGCAGCCACTGGGGCCTTCGGTGGAGCTCCCTATGGGGCCACGAAACGTGTGAGGGGTGTGCCAGAATGGGGGGTGGAACCGCATGCGGGCGCAGCCACTGGGGCCTTCGGTGGAGCTCCCTATGGGGCCACGAAACGTGTGAGGGTGTGCCAGAATGGGTGTGGGAGGGGGAGGAGGGGGGAGGAAGGGGAGGAGGAGGAAGGAGGAGGAAGGAGGAACGCGGGGCGACGTCTCTTCAAAACGAGGACCCAACACCACAGGATGGTTGGGAATAAATTAGCCTGGCGAAGAACCCAACCATATGCAGTTGTCAGTACCGCAGCTGCGGGTTTCATCTTCAATGGAACTCCCCATAGGATTACGGAACGTGTGAGGGGTGTGCCGAGATGGGTGCCACTGGGGCATTCGGCGAAGCTCCCTATGGGGACATGAAACACGCGCGGGGCGTGCCGACATGGGTGGCGGAAACGCATGTGCGGGCCGCCACTGGGGCCTCCAGTGGAGCTCCCTATGGGTCCCCGAAACATGATGCTGCTGCGGGGGGGGGCCGGGATGGGTGGCGGAGACGCATGTAAGCGCCGCTACTGGGGCCTTCGGTGGAGCTCCCTATGGGGCCACGAAGCGCGTGAGGGGTGTACTGGGATGTGTGGCGGGGACGCATGTGAGCGCCGCCACTGGGGCCTTCGGTGCAGATCTCTATGGGGCCACGAAACGTGTGAGGGGTGTGCCGAAGTGGGTGCGGGTGGTGACGCATGCGGGCGGCAGCACTGGGGCCTTCGGTGGAGTTCCCCATGGGGCCACGAAACCTGTTGTTGTGAGGGGCGTGCCGGGATGGGTGGCGGGGACGCGTGCGAGCGCGGCCGCTGGGGCCTTCGGTGGAGCTCCCTATGGGGCCACGAAACGTGTGAGGGGTGTGCCGAATTGGGTGGGTGTGGGTGACGCATGTGAGCGCCGCCACTGGGGCCTCCGGTGGATGATGGGGCCACGAAACCTGTCAGGGATGTGCCGAAATGGGTGTGCGGGACGCATGCGCATGTGAGCGCCGCCACTGGGGCCTTCGGTGGAGCTCCCTATGGGGCCACGAAACGTGTGAGGGGTGTGCCGAAATGGGTGTGCATGATGGGGGGTGTGCGGGGCCCCGAACGTGTGAGGGGTGTGGTGTGGGTGACGCAATGTGGGCGCGGGCACGGGCCTTCGGTGGAGCTCCCTATGGGCCACGAAACGTGTGAGGTGTGCCGAAATGGGTGCGGCGCCGCATGCGGCGCAGCACTGGGGCCTTCGGTGGAGCTCCCTATGGGCCACGAAACGTGTGAGGGGTGTGCCGAAATGGGTGTGGGCTGACGCATGCGGGCGCGGGCACTGGGGCCTTCGGTGGAGCTCCCTATGGGGCCACGAAACGTGTGAGGGGTGTGCCCGAAATGGGTGTGGCTGACGCATGCGGGCGCGGGCACTGGGGCCTTCGGTGGAGCTCCCTATGGAGCCACGAAACGTGTGAGGGGTGTGCCGAAATGGGTGTGGGTGACGCATGCGGGCGCGGGCACTGGGGCCTTCGGTGGAGCTCCCTATGGAGCCACGAAACGTGTGAGGGGTGTGCCGAAATGGGTGTGGGTGACGCATGCGGGCGCGGGCACTGGGGCCTTCGGTGGAGCTCCCTATGGAGCCACGAAACGTGTGAGGGGTGTGCCGAAATGGGTGTGGGTGACGCATGCGGGCGCGGGCACTGGGGCCTTCGGTGGAGCTCCCTATGGAGCCACGAAACGTGTGAGGGGTGTGCCGAAATGGGTGTGGGTGACGCATGCGGGCGCGGGCACTGGGGCCTTCGGTGGAGCTCCCTATGGAGCCACGAAACGGTGTACTGGGTGGGTGAAGAGGAGAGGAGGAGAGGAGGGGAGGAGAGGGAGGAGAGGAGAGGAGAGGAGAGGAGAGGAGAGGAGAGGAGAGGAGAGGAGAGGAGAGGAGAGAGGCGAGGAGAGGAACGCGGGGCACGGTCTCTTCAAAACGAGGACCCAACACCACAGGATGGTTGGGAAAAATGCGGTGCTACGATATCGCCGGGGGGGTTCTTAAATGCTTCCTGGGGCTATACGGTTGCAATGAGCGGTCCTGAGTATCGTCGCCCCATGTGTACAAAGGGTTGGGTACGTCCTCTGGTAACTTTGAGTCGCCAGAGGCCTGGGCCCAAAGTCGAACCCCAGACCTCTCCGGAGGTGCGCTTCGACCTGGATCCCGACTGGGCTCCGGCGTGGCGACGGGGAGCCGCCCAGAGGAGCAGCCGAGGACGAGCAGCCTGCAGAAGCCCCGCTCCCCGAGCCCCCCTCGATCCCCGAGGCCTCCCCTCGATCCTCGGCGCCCCGAGCCGCCTCGACCCCCCAGCCTCCTCGACCCTCGAGCCCCCCACGAGCCTCCGCGCCCCCCTCGCCTCCTCGCCCCCCCCCCCTTGGGGCCCGAGGCGGCGGGGCAGCCGCCGCGCACGCCCTGCCCTCCCCGCATGGCGGTGCCGTCCGCCCGCGCCGCGCTTACGCTCCGCACGCGCGCGCGCGCGCCGCGCCGCGCGAGCCTCCGCGCGCAGGCTCGTGCCGCCGCCGCCGCGGCTGCGGAGGAGGAGGAGGAGGAGGAGGAGGAGGACGGAGGAAGGAAGGAAGGAAGGAAGGAAGGGAGGGAGGGAGGGAAGGGAGGGAGGGAGGGAAGGAGGGAGGAGGGAAGAGGAGGAGGAGGAGGAGGAGAGGAGGAGGAGGAGGAGGAGGAGGAGGAGGAGGAGGAGGAGAAGGGGAAGAGAACGGCCAGCAACGGAGGGAGGGTGCCCTGGAGTCCCCCCGAGGTTTCTGGATGCTTCGCGAGGGCTCCAGAGCCCCCTTGGAGGCCCAAAGCGGGCTATCCTGGACAGACGATGGCTCCCGGATCTCCGACGCGGAGGCATGCGGAGCAGGAGGGAGGGAGGGAGGGAGGGAGGGAGGAGGAGGAGGGAGGGAGGGAGGGAGGAGGAGGAGGAGGAGGAGGAGGAGGAGGAGGAGGAGGAGGAGGAGGAGGAGGAGGAGGAGGAGGAGGAGGAGGAGGAGGATGGGAGGCCCAAAGCGGGTCACCCTGGACTTGGATCCTGGACCTCCGAAGCGGAGGCATGCGGAGCAGGAGGACGGGAGCAGCGCGCGGGAGGAGGTCTGGCTGGGGCCAGGTCGCCCGGCAGGAGCGCGCAGACGTCGACGCACATGGCGCAGCGTGGTCTGGGCGAGGGTGGCCCATCCCCCGGAGGGCCCCCGGGGAGCACGCACAGATCGTGGTGTTTCGTGTCGTCTTGGCACCGCTCGGACGTGTGCGTTTTTTTTTTCCTCGGCGAGGACCATCGAGGAGCATTCTTGATCACTTGGCGAGAAAAACCACGCCGCGAAGCCGAACAAAGACACAGGGAATGGACGTCCGAGCGATGGCCAGTTGTGGGCGGTGCAAAAGCACGGGTCTTCGGGCGTCCTGGTAAGACCGGCAGGGACCATGAGAAGCGAAGCTTTCCGCATGGCCAGGTATCAGCGATTGGAAGCGGCCTCCACGGTCGCGTTGTTTCAGCCAGCTTCCTGTCCGTTGCATTGGTAGGGCTTTCAAGGCTGCCGCTTAGGCCCAGTGTTGGAGCTGCCACAGGATTGTGGTCCATTTGATTAATGCAGTGGGTTGGGCTGGTCTCAACAGGCCTCCTGAGCTAACCGTCGGTGCGTTTTGTTCCGTCGGGTACTGTTTTTTGGCGGTGCGGGACTCTTTTCCTGTCATGCGGTCTCACCAGATCAGGCAGACAGACAGAGACAGCAGCCGCGCCCAGACGGCTTACTGGCAAACAAAAGTGTGTCAAGTGACGGCTTGTGAGCACAATCCAGCTGCCTACGGCAAGTCCAGCCACCGTGCCTGGGTTGTGGGTTGTGAGCCTAAGTAGTGGATGTTCTTTGGAATCTCGTGGGAGCCTCTCGGGGACCTCTTGGAGGCAGTTTTGAGGCCTCTTTGGGGCCGTTTGGGCGCATATTGCGGGCCTTTCGGGGGGCCTCTTGGGCGGCCTTTTGGGCGCCTTGGGGCAGACGGCTTGGATTTTCGGTTAGTGTTCCTCCTCTGGGGACCTTTGGGGGCCGTCTTGGGGCCCCCTTGGGCCGTCTTGGGCGCCTCGTGGGCCGTCTTCGGGCGCTCTGAGGCCGTCTTGGGGCCCTCTTCGAGGCTTCTTCGGCCGTTTTGGAGGGGTCTCTCTTTCGCCATGAGGCTCATCGCGCGGCAGCTGACCTCTCGGCCCAAGACGCCACCACCCCCGCTCGCCCTTCCTGCGATGCCGACTTTCGCGTTCGAGGTGGAGTACGCCAAGAGCGGGCGGGCGGGGTGCAAGAAGTGCAAGGACAAGATCGCCAAGGACTCGGCATCGCTCGGACGTGCGCATTTTTCCTTCGGCGAGGACCATCGAGGAGCATCCTGGATCTTTTGGCGGAAAAGCCACGCACGAAACTGAAAAAAGCACAGGGAGTGGACGTCCGAGCGATGGCGAGAGGACGCGGTGCGGGCGGGCTTCAAGGCCGCGGACGGGGAGGAGGCCCACGTCGGCTGCAGCTGGTACCACTTCGCCTGCCTCCCGGAGGCGAGGGGCAAGGCCTGGTTCTCTGGAGGCAGGAAAGGTCAGTCAGTCAGTGGGCCGTGCATCCTGAGGACGCGTAGGCAAAAGAGCACATAAAAAGTTAGGGTGGTGCGCCAAAAGCGTCCCACATGCAGTCAAGAGCAGCCCGCCAAACGCGAGGGTGGTGCGCCAAACACACACACACACACGAGTCACAAACTTGCAAATACTTCTTTTGCCCATTGTTGTCTTGGTCGGCCTCTGCGACGGAGGTAGGAAAGGGGCGTGGCGTCCAGGGGTGTGGTGCCGCTGCCGAATCTGGCGATGCTGTGGTCGATAACGTCGCCACTTCCGCGAGCGGCACCACGCCTCTTCGTTCCACGCCCCCTTCCAGGCGTCCAAAGGTTCAAGAAGCACCTCCCCGCAGACCTCGCCGGCATCGACGGGCTGGCTGCCCTGCGGCAGGAGGACCGCGAGGCCGTGGAGCAGCTCCTGCTGGCCTGCCGGGGGGAGGCCGAGGTCCCGGCCGCGCCGGCGGGGCCGGAGCCGGAGGAGACGCCGGTCGAGGGCAGCAATCCTGGGTCGGACGGGTCAGATTCGGGCCAAGGGGTCCTTTGCACAGGGGGTATCAAACATGTATGCAGTAGTTCGTGCAATCGATCGTGCTGGATGCGGGCAGATGGCGTTGCATCTGGCATCGTTGGTCCGTGAGAGCGGCCACGCGCCATGAGCCAGAGGGGGAACTATTGAATGTTTGGCGACCCCACTGCGAAAGACCCCTTTTGCCCGGACCCAAACGGGGCTAGGACGAGGATCGGGTATAGTCAGGACCCCAGGTAAGGGGACCCAGTTAGTAGTAGGGCCCCGGAGCCCCTAAATTGGCCAGAATCACTAAACCAGGTCTGCCGTAGCTGGTGTTTTTTCGTGTGACGGCAGTTCTGGTTAGTGGAACAGAGCGGGGGGGGGTGTCCCCCAGTACACATCATTAAACCAGGTTCCATTAAACCCAGTTTTGCCAACGCCCGAGAGGATGAATCCGTTCCAGAGCGTTCCCGAACGCCTCCAAAGCCGCCGCATCTCACGGATTCTAGATTGATCCTCGCCCGATGTTATCCTCGCCCTGGCTTCGTCGTGGTGGGGTAGATCTTGGCTGTTTTTTGACACCTGTTTCGAGCGGGTGGAGTCTCCCCCAGAGGACGCACGGTCCCAAACAGTCGCGCTAATCAGAGGTCCGGCGGGGCCAGACCACGCCCCCCTCCCCCCCTTCCGCCCAAAGTCGAAACGCCGAATAGCAAAACGCTCACTGGAGGAATTGCCCGGGGGGGAATGCGTCGGCCCCCGAAGCGCCCGTTGGTCGCCGATGGGGGCTGGATGCTGGGTATAGCCCAGCTCGCCCAGGACTCTGCGCATTCGCCATCGGGGGCACATCGCAGGCCAATCGGCGATGCATCGCCGATTCCAGCCTGGTGTTGCCCCCCCTGAGCTGCCCCCCCGACTGGTAAAGAAATAGTATGGGGATCTTTTTGACTATGTTTGAACACATTCGGAGCAGTTTTGGATCATTTACATTTTTCGTCGAACATCCCCCTGCAGGAGGACATGCCCGACCTAAACCTAGCGGCGATATATCGCCGATACCAGCCCGATGGTGCCCTCCCTGAGCTGCCCCCCTAATTTTGCCCCTCAAGCAATACGTCGGAGAAGAACGAGCGGCATGAACATACAGTGCCGTTTTTAATACATGCTCCGCGTGCGGATCATGTATTAACAATGTAGGGATTTAGTATTAAAACAACGATGAGTGCATGCATACATTTATTCATTCATGAATCATGTATTCAACGTCCTATGTTTCTTTTATCCTATGTATGAAAAGCTGCCCAGTACGGTTGGCGTTGGACAGATAGCGTGCGATGTGGCGCCGCCAGCCCGCCTATTGCAAGCTGTCCCGCACCTTGGGGACAAGGTTCGGTACGGGCGACACGGGTGCAGAAAGAATGGGCACGAAGGCCTACATCAGGCCCTGCTCGTTTTGAACAGGGCTCGCTGTCGGCGTCGCCGCCGACGTTGTCCATTCGAGACAGAAGGCCGCCTGCTCAGCAGCGGCAGCTGTCCGTTTCGGACCACGTTTCTTGTTGTCGGGCATCGTGCCCATTTTTGTCCGCAACCATCTCGTCCGTTTTGGACCACATTTCTTGTTGTTGGGCATCGTTTCCATTTATGTCCGTACCCATCTCGGGCGTCCACGAGAGGGCAACAGGAACAGTTGGCTCCTAGGCCTCCCAATCGGTGTCTGCAGATGGGGTCGGAGGCTCGCGTCGCATCGCCGATGCATCGGCGATGCGGCTCGATGCGGAGCCCGATCTCTCCACGCCACGTCGCCGATGCACCACCGATTCACCGCCGGTGCATCGGCGATTCGGCGCGACCCTCCGACCCCATGTGCTCGGACCACATTCGGGAGGCCTCCTGCGGCTGGCGTCGGACAGACGGCGTGCGACGGGGCGCCGCGCCAGCCCGCTTCTTGCACCCTGTCCTCGCATCGTGAGGACTGCGTGAGGTCCGCGCGGGTGCCTCGGATCTGCGCCGGGGGGCGCTGGAGGCGCCGCCAGGGGTGTCCTGCTTGTGTGTAAGCATGCCGCTCTGGCCTCTCCAGAGGAGACCCCGGCCAAGGGCAGCAAGAAGCGGAAGGCCAAGGAGGGCGGCGCGGACGAGAGCGCCGGCGGCGCGCCGGTGAAGGCCCCCAAGGCCAGCCCGGTCCTGACCGCGGAGCAGTCGGCCGCAGTGGCGGAGGCGAAGGCCAAGCTGGCTGGCAAGAACGCGGCGTGGCTGGGCGCGGCCCTGGCCAAGAACGGCATGCCGAAGAGCGGGCGCAAGGACTCGAAGAAGAACAAAGGCCATAAACACAGACTTTTGGCGCTCTGCGCGGATTTCTCGGGTCCGATCTGGACCACCACCCCCCCCGGCGGCGCCTCTGGTGCCGCCCCTGCGAGGGTCCGGCGCAGATCCAAGGAATCCGCGCGAAGTTCATGTTTCTGCCGTTTTCCTGCTTTGAAGGTCAAGTCGGGCGTGTCCCTTCCCTCTACAGGAGGAATGTGCTCAAAAGTTGTCCAAAAATAGTCTGGGGACGAGATCTGACCATTTTTGATTTTTGTTTAACTATTTCTCATTTCTCGTCCAAAATCCGCCTGTAGGAGGACATGCCCGACCTAATTTTAAGGACGAGCTAGTGGACCGCGTGGCCGAGTGCCTCGCGTTGGGCGTGCCGCCAGAGTGCTCGCAGTGCGGCAAGAGGAAGCTGTCCTGGTCCCGCGCCACGGGGAAGTACTCCTGCCCAGGAACGGGCCGTGGGGAGGGGGGGGGAACAGGGAGGAGGGCGAGGAGGAGGAGGGCGAGGAGGGCGAGAGGGGTGAGATGGGGGAGGGCGAGGGTGTGGAGGTGAGGAGGGGGACGAGGGGGGAAGGGGTGGAGGGGGAGGCGGAGGAGGGAGAAGCGGAGGGGTAGAGAGACAGAGGGGGAGGCAGGGGAAGGAGGAGGTGGACATGGGGGGGAGGAGGTGGAGAGTGACGTTAGGGACGATTGGCTGCAGGCATTTACGAAGTTCGTGACGAAGGAAATAACGAAGGAGAAGAGGAGTAGGCGTCAAGCTATTCAACACGAGCGAGTCAGCGGGCCCCGCGGATGAGAAGAAGCAGCAGGAGCGGGAGGGCGAGGAGGAGGAGGAGGGAGGAGAGAGGAGGGAGGAGGAGGAGGAGGAGGAGGAGGGAGGAGGAGGAGGGAGGAGGAGGAGGGAGGAGGAGAGGAGGAGGAGGAGGAGGAGAGGAGGAGGAGGAGAGGAGGAGGAGGAGGAAGGAGGAGGAGGAAGGAGGGGAGGGAGGAGGAGGGAGGAGGAGAGGAGAGGAGAGAGGAGAGGAGAGGAGGAGGAGGAGGAGGAGGAGGAGGAGGAGGAGGAGGAGGGGGGGGAGGAGGAGGAGGACCAGAGCACGCTCAATAGCAGCAGTCTGTGAGCAGAGCCCACGTGAAGCCCCGCGCACCCTGTTTTTTTCGAAATGTCGACGCGGAGCTACCCACAAATTCCCAAGCGGACGGGATGGGCGAGGTCAGCAAGGGGGAAAAGGACCCTGTCAGTCGGAGTCGTCTGAGTGCTCGACGTGCTGTGCTCCACGACTCCTCGCGGCGAAGCTGGGCACGCAGGCGCTCAAGAGCGTCGCCATGATCCTCACCATCCATCTTGGATGCCCCCCCCTGCTGGCGATCTGCAGATATCTGAAAGCGCTCAAATCCACAGAAAGGTCCTTCGGTGGGTGAGCGCCTCGCAAAACAAATTGTTGACGCTTCGCGAATCCCCACCAGCCCATCCTAAAACAGCCGTTCTGTGAGTAAGCATCGATGATTGGTATTCGTCCGTCACCTTGGGGAGAGTGGTTGAGGCGACCACGATGCCCTGCTGCCGCACATATCCGCCACCGCGCTAGAGGAAGCGGCGAAGTTTGGCAGGTGCGTGGCAGGGCGTAGTGGAACTCTGGGTGGTTAGTTTGTACGAAATGAAAACATATCGAACTTGAGGCGAAAAATGAATGGTTATGGTTTGTTCGGGCCTTCTTGATGTTGTTTCGGGGGGGCTTGGGGGCCTTCATGGGGCTATCTTGTAGCTTTCGGCGTGTCTGGCCAGTTTGGCTGGGCGGTATGCCAGAGGCGTCATGGATGTTGGTTGGATGCTCGTGGTTGGCCGCTTTGGGGCCTGAGGGAGGCAGTTTCGATGCCTTGTGACGCCTCTTGGAGGCGGCTGGAATCTCCTTGGGGGCACTTTGAGGCGTTTTGGGGAATTCTTTGGGGGTCTCGTACGTCTTAACAGCGACAGTTTAGGAAACCGACGTAACCAGAGAAGAGAGGTAAGGAGGAGGCGAAACACAGGATCAGCAAATTGCCATGAGGGGGGGAGGATGATGCCGGGTAAGAAAAGAGGAACAACGAAGATGATGAGGCGGCGGAGGAGGAGGAGGAGCAGGAGGGGCAGGAGCAGGAGCAGGAGCAGGAGGCTGAAACAGAGGAAGGGAAGGAAGGGTATTAGAATAGGCGGACAGGGATGATGATGAGGAGGAGCAGGAGGGAGGGAGGAGGCGAACCACAGGATATGCAAACGGGCCAGAGGGGGAGGAGGAGGATGTTGGGGGAGGAGAACAGAAAAAAAGAGGACGATGAGGAGGCGGCGGAGGAGGAGGAGAAAGAGGAGCAGGAGCAGGAGCAGGAGCATGAGGTCCTCACCATCCAGCTCGGATGCACCCCCCCCTGCTGGCGATCTGCACACATCTGAAGGCGCTCAAATCCACAGAACGGTCTTTCGGTGGTTGAGCGCCTCGCAAAACAAATTATCAGCGCTCCTCTTGGAATGTCTTGAAAGCCTTTTCCGCGGACAGCGAACTCGGCCCAAAACGCACACTGGTGCACGCTGGTGCACGCAGTGGCCAAGGCGCGAACGCACTGGCCAACGGCAGGCCGTCAGCGCTATGCGCGCTGAGGACACGACGCTGGAGCTTGACTGCCTTGGGGGCCCCAAGAATATACGCCACCACCACGTCGATTCCTCCTCCCGTCTCGACCCTCCTCTTCCTCCCCCCTTTCCTGGGGGAGGGAGGGGGTGAGGGAGGTGGTGGTGGTGTATATCTGTGGGCCCCCATGCCTCAACAACGTCGGCCACTCCTGTACGTGGCGCCGCCCTCGGCTTGCCCCCGCGCCTCTGCTGGAGGCAGGTCTCAGCAGATTGGCGTTGGCAAGTGCTCGCCGGTTGATGTCGCGTTTTTTTTAAGCCTTGAGGCTCAGACTCCGAGCGGCAGCCTCCAAAGCAGACGACGCACCTCCTCATCAAGGCACATCTTTCCCACTGGCGGGGGACACGGCGCTCCATGGGGCCGCTTGGGGCACAGGGGGGATTGACGAATGGGCACCCTTCCACGTCTAACATGGGCCACAGCGGTAAGAGGTTAGCCGCGAGCTCGCGCGCAGCCCTAAACACCGAAACCAAATGGGCAACCATGTCTCTCTTTCGCTATCTCTCTCTTCCCGCGACGGTTGAAAATGGGTCTCAGCGCCAGCCCGCGCGGCAGCGTCGTCAAGGGTATTTCCTCGCCTCTGACGGCGCTCGTCTGGATCTAGCCCGTCCTCGTCTGCGTCAAGGTGAGATTTCGCCTGGTGCAAGCTTGAGAGAGACTTGAAATTGCTGACATGCAAAAACACACCATTATTCTTACGCTTGAAAGATCACCTCTCCGATGCGAGCAGTGACACATGTTCGCCACCGCCAGGTAATCAGTGTTGGTTACGAAATTCTGGGCCGACTGCAAACGTGACATCCCATTGCGCAGATAATTCAGCAGCGGTCGCTGTCCTGATCAAGGGGGCGCGCATTGGACCGTGCACTGAGCACACGAGGTCACCGTCTTCCTGCACCGGGACAGCTCCCCACATTGCGTGGGACAGGTCGGCAATCGGGCGAGTGAAACACGAGCCATCGATAATGATTGTTCCTTGCGTACCCCAGCTCTCACCTTCACGGGACTCACCGATCGATCTGATTTCAGTCCCTCCCGACGAGCGCGCCCGAGGCCAAACCACCTCGGGGTACCTGAGGCTTCGGCCATAATTGAGGCTGCGACAAGCTCCTCCCTCTCGCTTGCACGCATCACATATCCATGACCGATGCAGCTGTGTCCCTCCCCCTCCCGCATTGCGAACATAATCGTTTCTCGCCGGAGACCTAATATCCTAGCTGCACAGCGCGGCTGGGATTTCAAACCCCGTCACGGGCCACGTTGTGGATGGTGCCACGCTGCACAGGGGTGTTTTTCTTGATGTTGGCTTGCTGCTTGACAGTGTCGAAACACGAACGATCCCATCCCACTCCCAATGCGTTCGCCACCGAGCGTTCGAGTGAGCGCACGACCTGCCGACGAAGGAGGTCCTTGAGTACTCCAGATCTCGTAATAAAAGGGAGGGGGTCTGGACCCTCCAAGACAAGCCATTTCAGACCCCCCCCCCGTGGGAGAACCCTCCAAAACATCGTCCCCAGACCCCCCCAGGCCCTCCAAGATAGCCTGGAAGAGACCCCCCCCGAAATGAGACCCCCCTCCCTTTATTACGAAATCTGGAGTAGGCAGGACCCACGAAGGTGGGGGAGATGTCGACCCCGTGCTCACCACGCGGCGCGGCAGAATGGGGCATCGCCAGCTCCAGGCGCTGCGCCGAGGGAGACAGGGCACCGAGTGGGCCTGCAGTGCTCGACCACGGCTTCGGCTGTTTACCTTCATCGAAGGATTGCAAAAAAACAAGGATTGCAAATTGCAAAAATACGAAGGATTGCAAAAAAACGAAGGATTGCAAAAAAAACGAAGGATTGCAAAAAAACGAAGGATTGCAATTCTTCAGTTTTTTGCAATCTTTCGTTTTTTGCAATCCTTCGTTTTTTGCAATCCCTCAGCAGTGCATTTCCAATCCGCCCTGAGGTCCGACAAAGGAATGGAGCACAGGAAGGACTGACACAATTCAGCCCGCACCTTTTTACTCCTCACGATCGGCGCCACAGCCCCGTAATTACCATCAGGGCTTACTCTCAAAAAAACGAAGGCAGTGGACAAGGATTGCCCTCCGCAAGATGGGCGAACACACTCCCCAGCAGCACCTCGAATACCCTGCAATTCAGCATGGCTGACTTCGTGAACTTCGGCTCCGTAATTGACGGTTGGGAGAAGCCCGCTGACGAACAACTTGGCAGCCGAACGACCGAGGAATTCCTCCTGTCGAGCGGTCCGTTTCACGCGAGCCCGAAATGTCTTGACCCTAACCTTTTGTTTCTCGGTTTTTCCTGGAACGCGCCTTGCTCGACCCGCGGCGTCGTCGATGCCTAAGTTGACCGCCGTCGCGGCGCCTCCACTTCGTCCGAACTCCTCGGGCCACTCCAACATGAGGCAATTGGACATAACGCTGGCGTTGTTGGGGGCAGCTAAACCACAGCAGCGGTGCAGGCCCTCAAGCCGCGCAGTACATCAAGACGTGTCCCACGATCTGCCAGGCGGACGTCGTCGATGCAGGTGGGCCGAGGGGTGGAAGCAAATGGTCGAGAACGTTTTCATGTAACATACGCGCGCAAAGGTCGTCGTCATACTACACCCCGCAATCGAGCCCCGAGTGCCAGAAAAGGCCAGTCCAGGTACCCCGATGTGTTGATGGACCTCCTGGATGTTTATGCCCGCATGCAGTGCCCCGAAGTCACCTCAGGGAAACCGTGACAAACGTATCTGGGCGCCAGATCCTCAAGTTCCCGCATCACGTAAAATTTTGACATGCACCACAGCACCGCGGCTGCGTGTTCACCGCGTTTCACAGCCTGCTCGCTTTTGAGGGTGTGTCGCCAAACCACGTCATGAACGTTCTTAAATTCATAACTCCGAAAATACAGCGCCTGTGAGCTTCTTCCTACTAAAGAGCTGTGGTTCGCCAAACTGTCCCCCAGATCCTGCGCGGGGAGTCGAAGATCCCGATATGCCTCAGGCTACCCATGGCTACCCATGGCTTTGACAGCATAGCCAGCATCACGAGGCGAATCAACATAGATAACGAGGAGCACGCCTCACAAACGGCAAGCAAGGTGAAACAGACTCGAGCACCATCGCTCAGCATACCAACGCGCCAGAGGTGGAATCCGTCCATCGACACAGCCGACCGAGAGGCGCGCGA